ACGGGGTTTGGAGGTCTTTGGGGCAATAAGGGAGGCGTCAGCGTTAGTCTCATAATGGATGGGATATCGCTATGTATAGTGAATACTCATTTGGCCCCACATTACGAGAATTTAGAGCAAAGAATCAGTGATTATAATACCATTACTGATGGCCAGTACTTCTGGAGTAACAAAAAGCCAAATATTTTGAGTCATGAGTTAGTATTTTAATTATTTTATGTGATTTTAGATTTGTTTTAAATTATTCTTGAATTGTTGATCAGTTATGTCCTATGGATGGGTGACCTGAACTTCAGGATCGACGACCTAACCGGCGATGAGATTCACGATATCATACTAAACGCACCCCAAACTCAACGTTCAAATCATTCAGTCAATAGTTTTGCGCAACTCTTAGCTAACGATCAGGTATTCTTAAGATGATATAATCATGTGATGTCTTTTATTAATTGTTTATCATTTTATGACATATCAGTTAAATCGTGTCAGACATGAGGGGCTGGCGTTCAGTGAGTTTAGCGAAACAGAGCCCACGTTTGCGCCGACCTATAAGTTCTTCGTTAATACCGATAATTATGACTATAAGTGAGTGTTTGATTTGTTTGTAAATTGTATTATACGGTAATGTGGTTTCTATCTCCCGGTGCTCTCCAATAAGGTCACGAAAGCCCGCATATACTGATCGCGTGTTGTATCGGTTTACTGTGAACGCATACGACAATCTGAAACTGGATTTAAAACAATTGAATTATAAGTCTCACCCGCAGTACAAACAGTCGGACCACAAGCCCGTGTCCTCACTGTTTCACCTGAAGACCAAAGAGTCGGTCCAACGAGTGCTTCGCAAACGAATGGCACCGTTGGGTGAGTTTGACTCACAGGAACTGGACGCTGGTGTCGATGGCGGTGACCAACAAATGTACGTTACATTCCATCCAATCACTGATTGGAAAGTCAATAGAGACTCGACGGCCTGGTATACAATCACTCCCAACAACCGGAACGCCATCGACTCCATGTCGCCCTGGGATTGGATCGGTAGGTCAT